GCTAAAAATTAGTCTTAGAACAAGCTGTATTATCTGAACCTGTTTGGCAAGAGAAGCGGAAAAACAACTTTGTGAAACTAGAGCAAAAGCGGTGCCAAATATGCCCAAAATTTATAGGGATATTATAAAGTACAGTATCATTGTGGTGTCGCGTTCTCTCGTACTCCAGAGATCAGGTAGTTTTGTCTTGTCCTACACATGTGATGCGTGTTCGTCGTGTTCTGGCTCGATGGACCAATGCAACAGGTGCAAGGAGCCCACCGCCCAACGTCGATCGTCTACATACGCAAGTTCGTATTGAGCCAAAAACGATTTCATTCTTCAATGCTTATATCTGATCTCTCGATCGTGCTATGATGGCAAGCAAGATCCACCACACACTCCATTGTCCACATGTGCTATGATGGCAAGCAAGATCCACCACACTCCATTGTCCACACCACATGCTCCAGCTTCACATGTTGAGAACATATCCAGTGCTCCTACTCCTTGCTACGCTCCCGGCCTCTCATCTCATTTGAGGAAAAACGCAAAATACGCCTGAACAATTCCAACAAAAATATGAATGCATAGATGATGCAAAGTTCTATGTCCATGTTAAATTGAGATGTTACAAAAGTCCATGCAAAAGGATAAAAAAAGTGAAATTAGCACTTAGATAGAGCCACAGATTCGATTTTAGGAGGTATAACTTAGGGATGTAAACGGATCGGATATGGACGTATATCATTGATATTACATTTGTTTTTATATTTCTGTTTGGATTCGAATTCGAATACGAATGGTGTTAGCTACGTCGGATAGTATACGATGTGGATATCGATATCATAAATATGCGATTTGAGTATTTAGATACGGATACAATATCGAATGTTGAATATCCAGACTTGATACAAACAGATCTGATAAACTCAAAACGGATTCGGTCTCGAATACAGTCGAAAAATATTCATAATGTTTTCACACCTAGCTATAAGCTTGAATTAACAGAGTAAGGCACAAACGCCCGTACAGAAATGGAGAGGCACGCACAAGGAAAAACCCACCTCTCGGTAAACATTAATAGAGATAGGCAACTTAATTCATGTTTGGAACTCTTGGACTAACAACTAGCTAGTTGGCTAAACTTTAGTCTTTAAGGATCAAACAGAAGGATTGGGTGGGCTAAAGTTTAGCCAAAGCTTGAATTAGTTGTTAGTTCACTATTCCATAGAACCTAGCTATCAGGAGGTAACAACTAGTTCTAGTATATACGACCAACATTATTAGTTTAGGATCAAACAAGTATGGACTAACAACTAGTTCTAGTATATAAAACCCAACAATATTAGTTTAGGAACCAAACAAGTATGAACTAACAATTAGTTGGCTAATTTTTAGCTAGCTATTTTTTAGTCATAGGTAACAACTAGTCCTAATCTATCAAACAGGACCTTACAGAAGCCGCCGTCTATGTTAACATTTAACGTGTCTATACATGCTAATGTATTTGTATAGGCAGGCAAAACCCGACTACCTCTTCAAATGGCTCGTTAACATAAGTATATTCAAGTGTTAATTTCGTAGAGACGGTCTTTCTTTAGTAGTGGCAAGTATTCAAGTGTTAATTTCACTTTTTTTATCTCTTTTCATAGATTTTTGTTATACCTCAAATTTTACGTGAACATATAATTTTACATCATCTATTCATTCATGTTTTTTGTTGAAATTCCTGGAACATATTTTGGTGGATTTACTTGAAATAGGAGCATAGTGGGAAGGGTGGAAGCAATGGATAGATATATTAGCTATAGAAAAACTGTTGAAGAGCGAAAATATAGAGCTCTTCAAATGATAATTTACAGACCAAGATTTGGAAAGACTATTGTAGATGCTCTAATAATAACAATTAAGCTAGCTAACTATTATTACCAACTAATGGATCAACATTTGCCGTGCATAGGCTATTGGCCAGGGAGCATCAGTAACGTGCCAAAGGGTCACAGGGATACGTGACTCAGCGGATTCTCTTCTTGGAATAGCTGGCAGCTACTCAAATCGCTTTCCATCTTATCCACAAAATGCTTTCCAATTTATCCCTCTGTCTGTGTCATGCATCCTGCCTCACCCTGTCAGCTCTTTCCAACCCTGCTATCTCCTCCGTCCCGAGCTTTTACAACAGTGAAATAATGTTTCCTCAAATAAATATAAAAGTATTAATATTTATAATGCCTAAAAAGTATCAGTAGATAAATTGTGCACTATATTTTTTATTGTAAATCTATTTTTCACCGGTGCAGAAAAAGTTTCTACTGCTCACAGCTGGTTTTCAAAACCGCCAGTACGAAAGGTCTATGAAAATCGAGATGCTCGCTTTACAATCGTATGTGGAAATCCATTTACACATGTGGTTGGCTTAAGACAATTGCTAGTGTAGATGGACTTACATTTACACTAGCGGCAAGCTTAAGGCCCTGTTTGGTTGAGCTGTGGCTGTGGGAGAAAGCTGCTGTGGGCTGTGAGCTGTGGAAAAGCTGTTGTGGGCTGTGAGCTGTAGAAAAGCTGAAAGTTGTTTGGTTAAACAAGTATAAAATATACCTTTTATCTTTATCTCTCTTGAAACAACTATGGAAGAGCTTTTTATTCCACCAATTTTGAAAAGCAGAAAGCCAAAAGCCAAAAGCAGGGTCAAACCAGCTTTCAAAAATGAACTACGGAAAAGCAGCTGCTTCTGAAAAAGCACCCTCCAAAAGCAGCCCTTTTGGTTAGGCTTTTGGCTTTTGGGGCCAAAAGCCAAAGCCAAAAGCCCAACCAAACAGGGCCTAAGCCAACTGTCTATGTAAACATTTCACACAGGTAGTCTTATATTACACTTACCTTTGTTAATTAATTTCACAGACGAACTGAGCCAGCTTAGTTGGTTAGGTTCTTTATGGTGGAACCTGCCTACCGGGGATCAAATTTCAGAATTTAACGGTATTGTGCTTTCAGTGATAGACGACGTTTCCATCGACAACGAGGGGCCTGTGGTGACTTCGTCAATCTCAAGATGTGCCGTCACAGTCTTTCGGAGGTGCTCATAGTTCGCCTGTGGTGACTTCGTCAATCTCAAAATGTGCCACCACAACCTTTCGAAAGTGCTCATAGTTCGTCTGTGGTGACTACGTCAATCTAGAGATGTGCCGCCATAGTCTTTCGTAGGTGCTCATAGGGGTAGATTTTACGTACGTATGTTAATAGGGGTGAGTGTGCGTGCGTGTTGAGCGTCAGCATCTGTACTTGTGTAATTCAAAAAAAAATCATAGGGTACTTAGTTAAACTGCTTGTACAAAATATTTTCAAAAATTTAGATGCTTCTCGCCGTATCACTAATAAACCTGATCACATTCAAATTCAAATAGACATCACACCAATAATTATAACAATATAACAAATATACATCATAAGCAATTATATTTTCATGTATCCATAAACATAAATACTTATTTCGTTCTACCATAGTCATCCATCAAGTCATCAAACAGAGCATACAAATACATCGAAGTTTTTAACTCAGGCGTTGCATAAAGTCTTGAAATTCACAAATAATCATCTTTATTCTAATCTAGCCTAGGAAAACCAATAAGATCTCTATATTCAGGCTGTGCTAACTCATTTGTGTTATCAAAATATTTCCCTTGGTAGTAAATAATCTTGTGCATGATTAACCGGCACATATCTTTCTGATTTGTTTATCTCCAAGAGACCTATCCATTGGTGGTCACTCAAGCTAAAAGCTAGTGGAGATACATTTCACCGGCGATAGTGATAAATGAACTATTAGTGTAGATCTAGAATTTACACCGGTGATTTTCATAAGCCTAACGCTACTGCAAATGTATCTACCCTAGTGATTCGTAGCCATGATAACCATGTCCCACTCTTTTGTTTCTGTTAGTGCTTGCGCTCTATGAACTGCCTATAGAAACCCAGATGTCAGCAAAAACTGTTTATAGGACACTACTACAGAATTCATTTTAATTTTAGCAACACCTCAATTTTATAGTAGAGGCGGCTTTATCGAAAACAACCTCTAAAAATGGTTTCGAAATGACCTGCCTCTAGAAATATATTTTTTAGAGCCGGCTGGTGTTTCCATCTGCTTCTAAAAATGCCATTATTTTTTAGAGGCACCCGAGCCACTTCTAGAAATCGATTTATAGAGGCAGCTAGATCTAGAATTGTCTCTAAAATAGGTGTAGCACAGTAAAATTCATAATCTTTTCAAAAGAAGTCGGATCTAGACAAACTTTATAATAAAGTTGTTAATCTTGAAGAGATCTAGAACTTTGGAGTTGATGTCTTTTTCATTTGAAATCATTTAAATCTCATAAATTATGTTTGAAGTTCTCACATTCTAAAATTCATTTTTTTTGAAATTTTTAAGCGACCTCAAATGGAGAATGACCATAACCCAACTTATAGATCTGAATCCTCATATTTTAAAAATTAAATTGTTCGAACAACCTCGAATGAAGAAACGACAAAAACCAAAGTTGTAGATCTCAAAGAGCTATACAACTTTTTAGTTGTCAATTTTTTCATTTGAATTCGTTTTTAATCTATCCCTTAGACAGGTTACATTGGGGGTGGAGTTGTTAGTGGGTGTACATGCAAAGGCTTCAGATTATGGGTTCAAATCCCACCAGATGACCTGTGATGCACGACTATCGGACCTGGTGGGGCATCACCGGATTAAAAAAGAATTCAGCCGCTAGAAATTTGGCAGACCGGTAGAAATTCAAAATATTTCTATGGATAGGCCGGTACGCCTCTAAAAATCTTCAAGTTAGTAGTGTGTACTAGTGTTTGCCGGAGGGAGTACACACAGAAGACATGCATCCAGATACATACAAATGTTTGGCACTAAAATATTTGAAATCCTCCTACAGAGTTGGCATCCTCGACTATAAATACATGCATCAGCCTATCCTACTACTCAACTACAGACAGCTCAAAACTTTAGCCAGAGCTAGCAAGAAATGGCTCCACTACTACTTCATGCTTCTGCCATAAATCACAGTGCCCATCCAGGGCTTAGAAGCCATATAGGACCCAATAATGAGCATATGATCTCACAGCACCTATCTTCTTCATCACAAAATACTAAGCGAAGGTGCAACATTAGACTTAGGTCACGAGCTCAAAGGATAAGCAGTCAGCTTGGAGGCCAAAAGCTGAAGCACTGGGAAGTCCCTAAAAGGGACTGGTTCCCTCCTAGCATTACTGGAAATAGAGACTTTGCCGAGTGCAAAATTAACTGTTACAATCATAACTAATACCTAAAAGAAAAATATGATGTGTGAATGCATTTTAATTATGTGTTTGATATGCATAAAATATTAGTATACATGTCATATCTGTGTAGATCGAAGGTGGTTGGAATGAAGATGGAAAGGGGCCAAGCACTTGGGATCACTTCTGCCACAATTTTGCGGGTAACATACATAATTTAAGTTTATAATAAGCATGTATGCTGTATATGTACCAACAATAAGATGCAGTTTTCAGTATAACCATCATATATGATGTCATTTCCTTTCATGTGTATACGAATAGACGATTGGATAGCGGATGGGAGCAATGGGGATGTTGCAGCGGATTCCTACCATCTCTACAGAGTAAGTACTGAGATGCCATTAACTAGCTACATTCCTAAAACAAATTTGGTGCGGCACTTGTTAAAATGCAGTACATCTTATCGTCACTGAGAATATCCCAAGACACAAATACTATAGGAAAACAAGATAGATTTTACAGGTTTTTATGGAAATTTGAAATATTATGTTATTTTATTACAAAACTGCAAAATACTAAGGGGATCAGAAGTATTAAAATTAATATTTGTGGAGACAATGAATTGTTTCTGTGCTTACGCTAAGGTAAAATTTGGGAACTCGGTTGGAAAAAATGAAGTGGTTTATATAGTTTTTGGGATAAGACAAAACTGTGAGCAATCAGGCATCCAGCTGATATAATGTTTATATGCAGTTACTCTGCTAAACATGTAAATATGTTTATGACAGGATATATTTGGTATTGTGCAGATTTTTTTCCTGGCAAAAAAATGTTAATGTATATCCACTTCAAACTTAATATGGTTGTTAATTTATATTGTCATCATTATTTATGTCCAGTACTTTTATTTGACTGGCAGGAGGATGTGAGATTGCTCAAGGAAATGGGCATGGACGCCTATAGGTTCTCCATCTCTTGGCCCAGAATACTGCCAAGTAAGTATATACAAAAGTTATCTAAATATGTTTCGTGCGATGAGTACGTTGGCAACAGTAAAGACAATGTCTACAAGTTGCACACCATCTGAGTTGTATTATTAGGGTGCTAATTTGAGCATATGCTTACGGCTTTCAGATGGGACGCTCGGAGACATTAATGAAAAAGGCATCGACTACTACAATAACCTGATCGACTTGTTGATAGACAACGGTAAAAACCCATTCCTGGTTCGATTAGCAGCTTAATTAATTGAAAAATATCGTTATCCATTGCACAAATTAAAAGTTTTGACGAATCATTCTTAATTTATTCATTGCAACTCATCAGGCATAGAGCCATATGTAACACTTTTCCACTGGGACACGCCTCAAGCACTGGTTGAGGACTACGGCGGCTTCTTAGATAAGAGAATTATGTAAGTACTATATGCAGTTCAAATGACATGCTCACGCACTCCTTTCCTCAAAAAAAAAAAAAAAAAAAAAAAAAATACCGATCAGAAGATGGCGACTCTGAAGTTTCATCAATTTTCCGGTTACAATAAACTATATATGAACTACAATATTGTTACATACATTTTGGAAAGTGACATTTAATATGATTTAACTTCAATTCATGGTTCATATATAAGTATTAGAGAAACATCAATAGCCAATATTAAACAACTTGTATGCAGATCCCAAACAATGTTTCTTTTCAACGAAGTGACGACAACCAACCAGCATAACTATTTATTGATGAACACCATTCGGGTTTGCAATTTTTCAGAAAAGATTACACAGACTTCGCTGGACTGTGCTTTGAACGATTCGGTGACAGGCCGGGTGAACAATTGGTTGACCTTTAACGAGCCGCATACATTTTCATGTTTATCCTACGGAACTGGGATCCTTGCCCCTGGACGGTGCTCACCAGGACTAAAATGTCCCGACCCAAATGGGAACTCAATCAAAGAGCCATACCTTGTTGGCCACAACATTCTTCTAGCTCATGCTGAGACTGTTCATCTTTACAACAGGTTTCATAGGGTAAATATATAAAAACAAAGACTCTCACACACACTCTTCTTAATATATGTATACACACACACTCCAATATTAACGAATCAAGTGCAGGGTGAAAAGGGGCACATAGGGCTTGCGCTTAACGTAATGGGAAGTGTGCCATATGGAAGTACGTTTCTCGATGAACAGGCCCAAGAAAGGTGTATGGACTACAACCTAGGATGGTACTTGGAGCCAGTGGTTCGTGGTGACTACCCCCACTCCATGAGATCATTGGTGAGGGATAGGCTACCCCACTTCAAAGAAAAAGAGCAAGAGAAGCTAGTGGGTTCCTATGACATGATAGGGATCAACTTCTACTCCTCAAGGTTCTCTAAGCACGTTGACATGACACCAAAATTCTCGCCAGTGCTCAACACAGATGACGTCTGTGCCACTGAAGAAAGTAAGAAATTATAGTTGACCAATAACCCTACTGCTTCACAGTTCTACTCAAGAAAGTAAGAGAGTAAGAAATTTGACGTTGTCATCATATACTAATCATGCACTTTTGTTCTTCTTTTCAATCAGTTATAGGGCCTGACGGGAATACTATTGGTCCTGCTGTACGTATTTATCTTCCTAACTCCATATTAATCTTTTACAATATTTTATGCTAAAAGAGATATATACGTAAAAAAAATTCAAAATATAATCATAGAGTGTTCGCATCGTCAAACTTTTACACCTAAAAAAGAGTAGTTGCTTATTAAACACGAAGTTTTGTGTTTTGGCAATAAAGCGGAACAAATCTCTGTAGTTTTTCTTGTAATATTATTATTGGTAATTAATTAAACTTTATTATATTACTTCAATTTGCAGACCGGAAATGCTTGGGTCTACATGTACCCTAACGGCCTAAAGGATATCCTTATGGTCATGAAGAAGAAATACGGAAATCCACCAGTCTACATCACTGAAAACGGTTAGTAAGGTGCTATATATTTTTGCATCTTGTTAGAGTTTCAATCATAGGTCCTACTAAATTTTAGCTAACTACAAACAATTACATTTTGTATTCTCAATACTACAAAAAAAAGTAGAGATGATCACTTTTTATTTTGAGAGGCGGTCGGCCTGTAAAATGGTATGTATTAATGAGTTATATAAATCATTAACAAAGGCTAGCGTCTTTTGTAGCCGCCTCTATAAATCAATTAATAGATGCGGAGATGCTAGCTATGATGTCCAACTCTTTTAATGATTTCTTTTTGAGAGGCTCTTTTAATGATTTTTGAAAAAACTAAAAACAGTAAAAAATAGTACTACATCCGTTCCAAATTATAAGACGTTTTGGCTTTCCTAGATACATTCTAATCAAGGTCATGTGTAGAAATGCAAGCTCGGCCTATAGCCTGGATGAACCTGGGCATGTTATATATGCAGACTGGCTAGTTTATTCGTTAAAACATCTATAGCGGATCGGACTGAGGAGCTTGGCCGGCGAATGAGGTGCTGAACACTTCTCTCGTGTTCAATTTGTTTGTGCAGGGATGGGGGATATTGACAAGGGCGATCTATCCATGGAAGCTGCGTTGGACGACCACACAAGGCTAGATTACCTTCAGCGCCACATCGCAGTCCTTAAAGATTCAATAGAGTATGTATCATCAAACGCTAGAACCTGCCTCTAGTTTAATTATGTGCTATTTTCATGTGGCGCATGGTTGAATTCAAATGCTAGCTGCATCCCTCTTCCTGCAGTTGCGGAGTGAACGTGCGTGGCCACTTCTCATGGTCTCTGTTGGACAACTTTGAGTGGTCTAGCGGCTACACCGAGCGTTTCGGCATCGTCTACGTCGATCGTGAGAATGGCTGCAAGCGCACCATGAAGCGGTCAGCCAAGTGGTTGAGAGAGTTCAACGGAGCTGCAAAAAGGACTGGAAAGAATATTGTTACGCCAGAGCTTAGAACACTGGCTGATGTTTAGCCATATTATTTTTCATCTCAACTACAAAACAATTTATGACTATATAACCGATGTTATTATTTTAGTTTCATATTTATGAGTTCTGTTTGGTACTCCAAATGATCTCCAAAGAAAAAAACTACAAAGTTATAGATTTCGTTAAGTACTATGACCTTGATGTTTAACATTTTGAGAATTTATATTGAATATTTGTATATATAAATCATTTCAAATGAAAAAAGTTATCAACTGGAAAGTTTTAGATCTCATAAACTCTACAATTTTAGTATAAAATGTATCTTCATTTGACTTTACATGTAAACCAATGGGTTTTCACTGGCGAACATAGGTACGAATGGGCAGTAATGTATTCGACAATGATACATATTGGTTCCAAACAACCAGCATTGATAGTGCTCATAGTGATATGTGTTTTTGAAGTAGTGACTACACATGTTAACCTGCATGAAGAAAATAGAGCTAATCCTATTACACCAAAGGAAACATAATTTCAAACGTCCACAACAAAAGTAGAGGTACACTACGTATGCCCAACGACAACAACAACAAAACTTCTTTTCAAAGAAACATCGAGGATAATGAAAGGAATGCAAGGAAAATGGTAACACATGTCATTAGTGATTTTGGTGATTAACTGACAACATGATCATTGGAACTAATGTTGTTCAGCATTGCGGTGGTAGTTCTGGGTTAATAGGAGGTAACAGCTAAAACAAATTATAGCCGTTGATTTTAGAAATTTAAAAAAATAAATAACTAAAATGACAAGGAAAAGAAAAAAATCACACTAAATCCCTAGATCTCGGGTAGATGGCATGCACCAGCTAAAGTGTACCCCTTTTCCTTTTACATACAATACACGCTCGGATGGGAGTAAATTACATTAGGTGTACATGTCACATAAATTAACTAGGTATACACATAGTAAGTTTACAATTTTTGTTACATTAATTCTTTTATTATTTTAAACAACATGATACAGACACACTTGCAATGTCCGAATATGCCTAATATATCTTGGTGATAAGGACATGACATCTAACTGTGCACCATTGAATATAAGATGAGCTTGTTTTTATGTTTGCATAACAATATAAGTAAAAATTTGATTCTACCTAATATTGTTACTTTTAATATACTTAGGAACAATGATGATGATGACGTGAACTTATAAGGAAAGATACTTTTTACGGTCTCTACAATAGATGTCTGCCAATCAATCGTTACCTCTCGACCAGAAGGAAGATCAGGCACTATCGTTCTTGTCAAGTGATAATTAGAGCTTTGTCACAAAAAAGTGATAATTAGATCTTCTGGTTCACATCTTACCCTTACTTTAGTTGTTTTCACCTTTGTCCTACAATCCACAACCATATTTTTTCCTTGTCCTACGACCACCTATGCCTAGCCTTTGCATATTTCAGTTTCAGAGTCCACGATTTTGAGTTTGTATTCTAGGTCGAGGTCTGGTTTTGCTAGTTTAGATCGTGTTTTTTCTAGTTTGTGTTGATCACTTCACTCCATCCCATACACCCGTTGCCATCACTACTACAGCCAACCCTTTTAGAGGCATTTGTAGATGATTTGTCTGTGCATCTCTAGAAATCGGCGATTTCTATATATAGAAGGGTATTCAGCCGCCTCATAAAATCATTTTCTAGAATTTTATAAATTATATTGGACAAAAAAAATAGTAAAATTATTTTTAATATGGGAGAGTTCCACCAGCCAACCCTCAGGGTTGTGACGTTTCGCACAAACGCGTGTGCGGCCATGGGTGGCAGATCAAACTCACGACCTCCGGCCTTGCACATTCATTCCTTACACTACTACAGAAAACGTTTGTAGTAATGGCTCAATTTTTTTTAGAGGCGGTTGAGGATGGAGCCGCCCTTATAGTGGGCGTGCTCGGGACCCACGAGACCAGCCACCCCTAGAAATGGAACAGTAGGGGCGGCTAGAGTTCTTCTACAAATGGATCGATTTGTAAGGGCGGCTCACTCACTAGCCGCTCCCACTGTTGCGATTTGTAGAGGCGGCTCAATCACCAGCTGTCCCTACAAATGCTCTACGTATAAAAGACTGTAGCCCCATTCTTTCTCCTTGGGTCACTCACTCTTACCTGAAAAAAGGCTTGGAAGGCCTTGGGACCTCCCAAAAATTATTCTATTAAGGGGAAGGTTTTGGTCTCAAATTCTTTGATGGAGAGGTTATAGAAGGTAAGGAAATGCTATTTCTAACTTTTTTTTGAAGTTTTAATGGTTAGTTAGTGAGTAATTAGAGTTTTGTTTTTCTCTCTCTTCTATGGTGCATGAGATGCTTGTGAAGCAAATTAGACCCAAATTTTGAAGGTACTAGGATAAATTAGGTAGGGGAATAAGATCATACCCTTATTTAGTCGATGTTTCTTGATTTTAGTAAACAATTAGTTAGTTTTATGGATATTTTATGTGCATCTAGATCTAGATCTAGGGTTAGGTTTTTTTATTAATTTTATTTTTTGCAAATTTATGTTTGATGAAATTGGACTAGGGTTTGTATGAAAGATATTGGGCAAAATATTAATTGTTGCTAATTATTATCTTTGAAATTATTTATTACAATAAATAAATATGTATTTTTAATTATTTATGGATAAATAGCCCATTAATTAATTATCCTCTACCATGGAGTATTTGATATGCTTCATGTAATTAGATTTGATTTATATTTATATATATCTAAAATATATACAATTATTCTCAAGTAATTATTAATTTGATTCATTTTTATATATATCTGAATAGGTAGTCCATTAATGTATTTTCTTTTGTTGTTGTTGTAAAAGATGGAGTACAGTAACTCTTGGATGTATGGTTTGTTAAGGTTCAAGGCAGGTTTTCGTGAAGAGGTGGATAAATTTATTGAAGCCGTAGAGAAGCATGCAACGACGTTGATAGAGAATAAGGATATAATTATTTGTCCCTGTAAAGATTACAAGAACCGTATGGCATGGATAGATGTGACTATCATCATATCTCATTTTATTATATGGTGATCTATTGAGGACTGCATAGTGTGAATTTATCATGGTGAAATGGTTGTTGTTAACGACGATGATGAGGAGGAAGATGACGGCGAAACTCTAGAATCCCTATCCCAATATTCAGCAGAGCTTGATGCACAAATGGATCCTGAGTTTGGTAATGAACAAGGTGGTGATGCTGGTGGTTGGGATGGTAACGACGAAGGTGGTACCAATAATGATGGCGGAGCACGTGTCAGGGATGCAGATGATTTTGATCATTTGGAGGAAATAATTTGGGCCATTGGACTAGAGATTTTACTAAAGAGCCCAAAAGGTCTAGAAAATTATAAAAGGGTAAAAAAAGCATTGAAAGAGACTATGTATGGTGTTAAAAAGAGTTATCCGACACACTGGATATTGCTACATTTTGTGCTTGAGCTACTCATCCTGAAGGCTAAGTATGGCTGGTCAGACTATAGTTTCAATGATATATTGCGTCTCCTATCATGGTTGCTGCCACAGCCAAACTTAGTTCCCACCAACACATACCAAGTGAAGAAGGTTATAAGTCCATTGACAATGGGGGTTGAAAAAAATCCATGCATGCCCTAACCACTGTATCCTTTTTTGTGGCGACATGTTCAAGTCACTAGATAAATGTCCTAGTTGTGGGGCTAGTCGGTACAAGAATAACGACCTTTACGATGGGGATGAAGCCTCCATGGGGAACAAGAGAAAGAAGGGTGGGAAAAAGGTGGTACAAGATTCTCAACCCCCAGAGGACACTCCATTAGGCAACAATGCAAAGTAGAGAAGAATTCCTACCTTGGTAATGTGGTACCTGCTAGTGGTTGCCCGGTTGAGGCGTATGTTCCTAAACCCTAAGGAAGCCGCACTCATGACATAGTGGGATGATGAGCGCAAGGTGGTTGATGATGTGATTGCACACCTGGCCGATGGTACTCAGTGGCAATGCTTCGATGACAAGCACAAAAAATTCAGTGCTAACCTAAGGAATGTACAGTTTGGCTTGAGCATCGATGGAATGAATCCCTTCAATGAGAGGACATGTTAGAACAGAAAGTACCTTCTCCTCACTATTCTCATTTGGGTCCAAAACAAGTAGGCATTGATATAGATGTGTTCCTCGAGCCTTTGATGCAAGAAATGGAGTGGCTATGGAGGCATGGGGAGCCAATGTACGATGCGTTCTGAAAGAAGGACTTCATATGTAGAGCCATGATCTTTGTTACTACCAATGATTACCTTGTGTTGTTTGCTTTGTCTGGATAGATCAAAGGAAGACAGGATGCTTAATCTGCTTGGATGGTACTACATGGGTGTACCTAGATGCATCCAAGAAGATAGTTTACCTAAGGTACCGACGCTTCTTAAAGACAAATGACAAATACCACAGCAAGATATACTTTAGATATTATAACAACAAACCAAAAATGAACCCCCTCCGGAGAGACGTAAAAATAGGCAACACGTGTTCAAAATGGTGAAAAACATGCGTGTCATCCTCAGAAAGAAGAATTCGGATGGGGTGAAGAAAGATAAAGCACACCTCCTATCGCCAATGTACCTTTCCATAAACAGTCGATCCTCTTTCACTATCTGCCTATTGGCTGGACTTGGAGGTCCCCCATGCCATTGATGCTATGCACATGTAGGAGAAAGTCTTTGAGAGTCTCATTGCTACCTTGATGGACACAAGCAAGACAAAGAATGGTCTAAAATCACGGAAAGACATTTTGTAGCTAAATGTGAAGGTAGAGCTTCCCCCAGTACCTAAGGGTAATGGAAAATACACTCTGCCCGCGGCTAGCTTCAACCTAATCCTAGAAGAGAGGAGGGCGATATGCACTTTCCTTAGGGGGATCAAAGTTCCAACTAGGTTTTCATCGAACGTGAAGAGGCTAGTGTCAATGAAGGACCTATCAATAAAAAACCTCAAGGCTCACGATTGTCATATGATGCTGACAGTGTT